CCACAGCGAGTTGGCCACGGTTGCTCGTTGGTAAGGCGGAAAAAGGAGACACGAGGACACCCTAAAGACTCCTCTCTGGCGTATGCAAATCAATCTGCGAACCTCAAATAACCTTGGTTTATAAACATATCCGTACTCCCTGTGATTTCAGGAAATGTTATAGCTTGTATCAGATACACCATCTTTTGGAAGAATCTACTCGAGTCGCAGTACGGGATAAAGAATTGTGGTTTCCAACCTGAGCGCAATACTGATATCCACTACATTAAAGCGCCTGCTAAATGATTCCATCTTTTTGTCGGGTCGTTCGCATGCCTATTTTTGGAATGGAGATGAATGAGTGTCGAACAATCCATACGAATAAACCCTTTCATTTGAGCTAGTTTGTTTCCCCTGGCACATTTGACGAGTGTTATATCTTAATGCCACATCACCATAAGTAGGTGTTACTTAAATGTTTGTTACAATTTCAACATCAACTGCGACTGGTTTCGTTGATAGTTAAGAAAGTATGGTTAATCAAAGAAAACAGAAGTGAGATGTACATATGTAAGAGCCAAACTGAAACTCACGCATATTCTCATCAATAGCGAAGTTTCGCGCGCTCCGAGCATCCTTGAGTGGCAAAGCTTTAATATAAGCTCCATCATTACCCTAAAAGGAAGAAAGAGAATCGATAACGGAGAGCGAAAAGAACGCAATGGTGATGAAAGGTATATTGATGAGCAAATCCAATAGATCATTTAGAAAGAAAGTTTACAAATATCACGCATTAAAAGCATAGTGCACGCCAGCAGAACCGAAGGGCTTGTAAAATGAGAAGGCAAAAGGTATGGTTATGACACACGAAGATCCACGATAAGTAACTAATTCTACATTAATTATTGGGGATTATTCGGAGAGAAGGTACAGTGATGTTGATGGTGCGTTTGAGCTGCTACAAACATCAGGCAGATCATTGGTAAAACCCAAGTACAAGTAGGGAGGGAACGAAAAGACGTACCTGCAGACACGCCAGTATGTCCTGAACAATCAAACTTTCTTGTGCATTAAGCGGCAGCGCTTCCAAGGGAAGTACCGAAGGTTGCTAAAATGAAATACGCCTGCGTAAGAATAAAAAAACGAAAACAAATCTAGGACCCTAGGGAAAACTGCAGTCCACGTAGCCAGTTAACAAAAATTAGCGGAATAATCTTATAGGTGAACAGTGTTTAGCAAAATTAGTGCAGATATATCAAGACAGAGCACCAGCAACACCTCACCTTTGCGGTAAGAATATCACTCAGAAAGTAGTCCATAGAGAGGTATGGACGCTCATAGATCCACTGCGGGAGAGTTCTCAGAGGCTGCTTCGACCGCTTTTTAGATGTGTCGAACCCCACATTGGCCAACGCTTGTAAACGCTCAAGGCAGCTCTCCTGATCATTCAGGTCGCCATCGCCCATCCCATAAGCAGGATAGTATGTATTTTCATCGTCAGAAGTATATTGTTCCTGCTGAGGCTCAGCCGAAGTATTGTATGAATTATCCTGACTGTGGATAAGGCGTTGCAGCTGGTCGACATCCTGATTTTTTTAATGAAGAACAAAGTGCCTAGAGTTCGGGATAACTAATATAATTTGAAAAAAAATGACTACACACGGACATTAACAAGCGTAGGCATTGTTAGGGACGTACCGTACAAAAAACTGGAAGTACATATTTCATCTACACTGAACGCAGTGCGTAAGCTTGATAGCGTTCCAAAACATGGATAACGAATTCTTAGATAGTTAAGGAAGAGAAATAAAGAAAAACGTCATAAAAGAGAAGAAATGAAACTGTAGATTAAGAGAATGGCAATTAAACTAACTCACGTCGGTTTGTGACTGATTCCCGTTTTTGGAGGTTCTGTTAGTGTTAATGGCGTTAAGTAAATCTGGGTCATGCTTGATTTTTGCCAGAAGATAGACAAACGGGTCCAGTTCTCGAATGCTAAAGGTGTTATATAAGCGAAACGGCGTACTTTCGAAGCTGTAACTCTTTATACTTCGCAAGGAATGCCTCAGCATTCGGATTGTTATCTAAGATGACTTGTTTTGCTTTATTCATATTAAGCTACGACGAATAGTTGTTAGAAATTTTTAAAAACCTGCGAAGAGACATGTGGGTTTACGTGTTTTTCGAGCTGCTCCGCAAAAAGGAGCACCTGAGAGTCACTAACTGGTTGCCCACTAAAGAAATTAAAAATAATTTGAATATACTAAATTCTCCGATAAAGTTCGTCCACATGGTGACTTATGGTATTTTTGACATGATCCATCTGGTAAAACGAGTACTTAAAACGTCATTTGAATATCCAGTTCATTCAAATTATTTGTGTATTTCCGTAATTCCAGATAATGATGCATTATCTCAGAAAAGCTCTTATATATCAGTTAATCAAGTGTAAGCTTTGGTTGTGGCCCCAAATCTTCAATTGCTGTAGTAGATGGAAGCTCACAGATCACCTTTATGCATTCTGTCACCACGTTGTGTCTCGAAGGTCAATAACTAGTCCCGATATCACTTCTATTTCCTGCCTTTGAATATCGATTTTTTGTTCTCTTTAACGTGAATAACTTTAGTTTGTTTACAAGTGTTCGGTAAGATGTGATAAAAGGTACAAACTTATGTTCGGAATAGACGTAATCATGGGCAACAATGAATACTCAAAAGGGTTCAATTAGTTACCTCAATCGGAATTGACGCACGTTTATTTCGCGAAATCAGAAGAATAACAAACAATTTGATAGTTTCGAATAATACCTGAAGAGTGTGCATACTGAGGTTGAACACCGCAATGACACCTGTTACTACAAACTGCGATAGGTGTTTGGGAACGACTAGCTAATCAGCCGCTGACATGTATTCAGCAGGGACTGTGCAGGTAGGTGTGAGAGTGGCGGAAGTTGGCGAAATGAAGCCAGTGTGTAGCAAATAACATGGCAGTGTCTGTTACATGAACGGATTCATTGGCTCATTCTTCTGGGTCAGAATAGATTCTGAAGGAATCTCGATGGCATTTCTTCGCAATTTGCTGTTCTCATGAAGATTTCGTTTGATTGGCTCCTTCTACTAGCCAGAAGTGGAAAATGTCATTTTCTATCCTGTTATTCGCTCCTTGCATGGTGCTTTCCCATATGAAACGTTCGGATCCCGTGTACGTACTTCCGCCTCTAATTCTATTCGCACTACATTTGTTTACGGGACTCTATAGTTAAATCAAAGGCACAACAGGACAAGTAAGCCTCGCAAGCGATCAGTGAATGTCCATCGATTATTTTGAGGCTTGCTTCCGGTCAGCAACCTGCCGCCTTTTAATTCTTCAATAAAAGAAGCAGGTGGTCTAAGACAGGAACAGAATTTGCGAATTCGGTCTGCTGACAAAAGGCAATATTCGGTGAGTTTACATTAAAATCATGCCTACTAGGAACTATATTGGTTTCCATTTCCTCTTTAACTGAATCTTTGGTGTCTTTTTGGAAGGGGCTCCGGTCAACTCCTTCCGATTTATATCCACTGTCTTTGTGCATGTACTCACTGCTGGTCTATGTCACCGGTGTACTGTACTGACGGCCACTGATTCAGCATTCATTTTGTTTCGAAGATTACCGCATGAAGAAATATATCATTTACACGTTGTTCATTGAGATCTTATTTCCTGTATGTAGACGTGCATTTTGGGAAGAAGGTATGCTTTACATGAAGTAATATGTTTCATCACTTTCCTCCTACAGGATGTGATTTCTCATAACGCCACATAATGGCATCCAACATTTAAGTGTGTCTTCCCGCAGCAAAGCAGCAAAACCTCGGTTGTTGCCTTAACCGGCTAGGTAAACCAGATGACTCTATCTGATGTTGTGTGTATCCACCGTCCCATCCTTCACCTTACTCTTACTCCACAAAGCATGAAAATTCATATGTATTGAGGGACAGATATACTTAAGTCTGTCCTCATACTTAGGCTTGACTTCTGAGTAAAACGCATTGGCGCATAAAAGAAGTCTGCAGCAACCCGGGAGTTCTTCTTAAAGGTAGCACTGATTAGCCATCTCAAGGAAAGGAAC